TAACAAACAACAAACAACATCCAAAAAAAGAAAAGAAAAGAAAAGAAAAGAAACAAACACACAATCGCTCAACCCAGCACCAATCATTAATGCTCAATCAAAACAAACAAACAAAACAAAACAAAACAAATGGCAGCATCATAGCTCATACCAATACATCACCAACTCAAACCCTCAAACCACTGGCCTTCTTCGCCAAAAGCGCCTCCACCTCATCCTTGTGCTTCGAGAAGTTATCCACCAGATTATCCCACATGGCCGGCTCATGCTCGTGGCGCTTCTGGCTGTTCCATGCGTAGTCGGTGATGGTGAAGGCGCGGGACGACTCGAACATGATGGCGATGGATGCCTCCGAGATGCGCATCACCGGTGGTGGGGCCTCGGAGGCTGCTTTGAATTCTTCGTAGGCGACACCGTGGGGGACCACTTTTTTTCTGAGGTTAGTGGGGGTGTCTCGTTTTTCTTTTTTTTCTTTTTCCTTTTCTCTTGGGTGTGGGGAGAATGACTTACTGCCGCATTCGAAGGAGATACTGCCCGGTTTGAAGGCGTCGGACCGGCCGCCGTAGTCGCCGTAGACGAGGCCCATGAGCTCTGAGGCGGCGTTGCGGTGGTAGTAGGGTGGGCGGTAGGTGTCTTCATCACCCGGTTAGTTAGTATAGATTTCATGTTATGTTAAGACAGAAGGGGGATGCATACTGGATGCGACGTCCCAGCGGGGGGAGAAGATGAGGAAGTCGGCGAGAGGGGCCGTCGGGTCGCGGGATTTCGCGGTCAGGACGCAGAAGATGGAGGGATCGATGTGGTCGACGGAGATCGAGCCGACGTTGACGAACTTCGTCATGTCGTATTTGTAGGGGACCTTGTTGCATTGTTAGCGCCGTCATCGCATGAAAAGGGTGTTCCACTTGTAAGCCAAGTAAGGACGCGACGTACATAGTTACCGTGCCAGGCCACAACGTCGAACGGGCTGTGGTTCTGCGTGCTGGCGAAGAACTTGCCCCCGAGCTTGTACACGATTTCCCACGGCTCCTGGCGAATCTCATACTTGGCCACTGGGGTGAGGAAGTCGCGCGTGTTGGCGAGGCCGTTGGCACCCAGTGGGCCCAGTTCGGGGAGTTCATAGCAAGAGCCCCAGATTTCGAGGATGTAGCCGCGAGAAGGCCCGTCGGGAACTTCGACGCGGAACCGGATGCCGCGTGGGATCACGACGATCTCACCCGGTTGGACGAACAGTGGACCGAATTCGGTCTGGATGTCCAGAGCTCCCTGCTGGGGGACGATGAGCATCTCGCCGTCGGAATTCACAAAGGCTTTCTGGGTCATGCTGGTGTTTGCAGTGTAGACGTGAGTGGCGAGGCCCTCGCGGAGAGTCGGGTCTCCCGATCCAGCGACGGTCTTCAGACCGGTGACGAAGTCCACCGGTTCGTCGGAGGGGATATCAAACGGATGCCATGCCAGCTGGGTGGGGGAGACGTGGACCCGCGGGTTCAAGGGCAAGAAAGTGGCCTCTGTGTCGGGGTTGTCTGGGAGGTTGGTCTGGGCGGGTTAGCCGGATGGCCCATTATGATGTAGTCGAATTCACATACAAATCCTTGATGGGCCACCGCCGGACGAGCACGGTATAGCCAGGCCTTCTTGTTGGCATGTCTCGGGGCCACAAAAGCAGTGGCTGTTACCTGCTCTGCGTACAAACCAAAGCGCACATTACGAGGACTGTTCTGTCCGTGGGGAATCGTTCCGGGCACAGCCTCGGAGATAAATCTGCTCGATGTAACGCACCAACATTAGCCGACTGAGCCCCTCATGTGAAGGGACTGATGGCGTACGTGTTACCAAATCCAGCTTGATACTATTGAGGGTTAGATTATCATAACAACAGAGGGACAATGAACATCGCATACCTCATAAGGGTCGTTCCGGCGGGTGGAAAAGGAGGGGATTTCACCGTCCTTCTGTGTCTCCGCCCAGTGGAAGATCTTCTGATATTCCTGGGGGTCGGTTGGAGTACCTGCAGAGCCCATGTTGAATGTCAATTAATGCGGGCTTAGGTTGAAGGAAAACAGAGTGGTTCGCGGTATAAAGGTAGATGCGGTTTCGCTGTCAAGAACTATACAGAGTACACCAGGGGGCGGCAGCTCTCATATACTGATCATTGTGGGGTCGCATCTCGTCCAGAAGGATACGAGAAGGATCACATTGCAAGACCGAACCCCACATTCTGAGGCCAAGTGTATGGCGTGGTGTACACTCGATCAGAGTTGTCCTCTACTGTGTACAGTTCGGCAGATCAGGGAGACCTTTTGTTGCCGAGCCTTTCTTCCGGGGGCAAGTGGAGACACCCAACAGATCGTCTGCACAGGAGATCCAACCTCCACACATTCGATGTGAGGCCTTTGGTGACCCCACATGACTCAGGTCTGAGTAACGGTGGGGAGTCTCTCTGAATTCCACTCAACGGGATTGAAGGTATGCCTCATTGCCGAAACATCGAACTGAGGGGAACGAGCACAGATACAAGGAAGACAGCAGGAAAGCAAGTCGTAGGGTGGGTTGCGGCATCAGGCCGACCATTACGTTACGCATTGAACACGGTGTACACAATATGCAGAGATGGCTATAATATCACGAACTAAAGCGCAGGCTTGCGTCAGATGGTGGATTCATCACACCCCGAATTAGGGCCCTGCGCAATCACATGCTACACCAAAACAATAGCAGCAGCAATTATCATGTGGGCCGCAAGAAAACAATTATCAGGGCAAAACAAGAAAAAAAAATCACTGAAGAAACGCCACAGCCTTGTTGAGCTGATCTACGATCTTGTCGCGATATGCCTAAATAATAGTGAGCACGGGGTCAACTTCAGATCCAAGAAAACCACTTACTGCAGCTAAGGTCCAATCCCCAGCAGCAATAGCCTTCGTTAATCCAGGGAAAGGCTTTGTCTGGAAGTAATACGGGGCAGGCTGAATGATAAGATGGTAGTCCCTATCACCCAAAGGAAGATCTGGATCACCGAGGAGACGCTCGAAATTAGTGTATACGTGATTGACTGACTGGACCTGAGCCAGAAGGCTATCGTTCAAAGGATGCTGTTGTTGCACTTGGTCGGCAAGCGAGTCGCTATGTGCGTCAAACGCTGCGGAAGCCTTCGCGAAATCATCGACCACTGCCTTCAGCGACGACAGATCGAGGTGTGACGACAGGTTTGCTGTTGAGCTGAGTGATTCGAGGCCGTCCTGGAAGACAGACGTATACGCCTGGACGCGGTAGGGCAGAATCGCCTCATCTGCAAGAGATGTTGCCAGCTGTAACCAGATTTTGGTGGTCGCCAAATGGTGCTCAAAGCCGGGATCTCCGTATTGTTCCATCCAGGAATATGTGTCAAATAGTGAATGGTAGGGGAAAACAGCATCTTTTGGCCCACGCGAGAAGCCAAAGTCCGCAACTGAAAATGCATACTCCTGGAAAGGCATTGCGTCTCCGCCGCTACCCAGACCGAGCTCATCCCCCCAAGCTTCTAGGACAGTTTGTACACTGCTGCCTTCCTTTGTGGGCGCTTGCACTTGGCCGGTAGCATTGTGCATCGCCTGTGCCAACAGTGGGCTCCCTTGAGCATGAAACTTGGTGCCTGCGCCCGCAATGACCACATTCAAATACGCAGCCACGCTACCGTTCAGCTGGGACTTATTTTCATTGAGCCATGGGCGCGACCCCACCTGGCCTACCTCTTCTCCCTCCCAACTGGCGAGGATGATTGTTCGTAACGGCTGCCAACCTTTTTTAAGGGCCGTTACGAGACTTCGTGCCACTTCGTTGAGTGCCGCAGACCCACTGTTTCCATCTCCAGCACCTGGACCCCAGGCGTCACGGTGATTTCCAAGCACAATCACCTCCTCTGGAAAGGCGCATCCGGGGATGGTCCCAATAACATCATGGATAGGACCGACCCAGTGACGCGCTTTATTAATCACGTTCAAGACAACGTTCTCCGGTGAAGGCCCGACATTGTACGTAACGTTGTGCGAAGTGAGTCCACCTCCTTGCCATCTGTCATTGAAATCTGCTGCCAAGGGACCATGGCCATTGAGGGCCTGCAGCATCGGGATCGCATCGGCGTACGAAATGGGCATGGCGGGAATCTCATCAAGCGCTGCACACAAGTGGTTAGAGCAATCAGATATTCCAACGCAAGTTCACAAGGGATCCTGAGAAGACCTACAGCAAATCCCAACATTTCCTCGCTCGATCAAAGAAGGGGGCCGGGCGGGCCCATCCGGAAATGGCTGGTATCCATTTTCTACAATAATCTCGCCATCCATTTGAGGATCAGGGTAGATAAGCATCCCCGCGAGACCCCTCTTTGTGGCGACGCTTTCCTGGGTTGCGCGGTGATACGGCAGATTGTACTTTTTCAAGACGGCGGATTCATACGTAGACTTGACCAAAGCGATCTTCCCCGTGATGTTGATCCCCGCGCCCACCAAATCATCGTAATCCTCTTGCGTTCCGAAGTTTGCGAATATATACTGCGCGGTGACATTGCCCTCCCCGGCACACCCGAAGAAAGCCGGAATGAAAGGGGGCTGCCCATCACCAGCTTTGGGGGCGTTGTCCTCGATCAATGGCGCTTCGTATACTACTGGATCTCCCTCGCGTGCCGTGTCAAGCAGCGCGACTCGATGTTCGTCGTTCAGAGTCAGGTTGGTGCTATAGGATTTCACACTTGTGTTGGGGAGGCCAATGGCATCCCACAACTCCTGGGTCCACAGCGCCTGCTGGAGGCCCTGTCCTGCTACATGCGACCCGTTGGTATAGTAGCGAACTGATTCGCGGATTTTCTCAGCATCGGGGACGGACTGTAAAAGATTGTGAACCGCGGTCGACGAAAGATTTTGTCTGCTCTTGCACTCCTGGAAGCCACTGGTGTCTAATCGACTGCCATAGACACCAGAAACGGCCAGGAACAAGGTAGCCAGGCCCGTCCAAGGCATGCTTCCTCGGTTGGGAAAATAAGAGTAGAGGGAACGGGGGCTACGATGTGAAAGATGTTGCTGCGAACAGAGAGAAATCTAGGCCCCGCGGCAATTATATATAAACTATATTCACGCTTAAACTATTGAACTATTGAACCCCTTGATGCCTCGCTAACAATGTGCTAACCCTGAAGAATGCCAAGATCCCAACACGTCTCAGCGATCAGTGAGTGTGAACTGATAAACCACTTCCGAGGAGACTTACCACGGCGGGCTCGATCGAGATTCCGGACATTGGAGGATCAGTTGGATTCTAATACACGATATATGAGCCACATTAAGTCTATCTCCGGAGTATAAGTTCCATTGACCTACCACTTACCATGGTCGATATCCTCCAGAGTGAAATATATTTACCGCCTTGATAATTCACTCATGCAGTACCACACCGTGTTTAGGAATTGAATCTTTAGTTACCGTAGCCCTAAACTGCTCCTAACTTTAGCTACTGGAACTACTAACCCCTAGCTTTGAGCTATAAACTTATTATTAGAGAAAGTAATAGTACTATACTCCTGGATACGTGCGTGGCTTGATGTAAACTGTAAAGTGCTGGGTAACAAATCTCTCTTCTCCGGGACCTTGCGTCCACCGTAGATAGGATCCCTTATCACGGTCCCCGACACAACACTGCAAGGGGGGAGGTTTAAAATCATTACCATGCATGTCTGGGCTGGTTGATGGTGGGAGATCGCGAAGATGTTATCCCCATTTTTCTCTATGCATGAGACTACTGGCTGCTCAAGCTCCATTTCTCAGCCGCAAGGGATCACGCCCGAGCACGTAATTTCAATGATAAAAGGAAAAACAGTGGGTTTCGCTCTCGATGAAGCTACTTGAGACACACGGGGCAATTTCACAGCAACGGCCTGCTTCTGTTTTTAGAAATGGCACCTCCGTCCAATTCTCAATGGGCCGACGCCGAGAGAGAGAGTGAAGAAACCCCTTTGTTCAAAGATTCCAAAGATCACCAATCTCACATTCTCCCGCGGAAGCAACTCCTTGTTATATTTCCCGCCCTGGCTCTGATCCATTTTACCTCGTTTCTGGATCAAACAGCGCTATCGACTTCCTTGCCTGCCATCGCAGCCGGCCTAAACACCGGCTCGTCCATCTCATGGGTCAGTGCCAGTTTCCTCACGACGAGCACCAGCATCCAGCTGATCAACGGCCGGCTGTCCGACATCTTCGGCCGCAAGACATGTCTCCTGGGCGCGTTGACAATCATGGCGCTGGGCAACCTGCTGGGCGGGTGGTCCCAGACACCCGCGCAATTGTATGCAACTCGAGCGTTGAGCGGCCTCGGCGCCGGCGCTCTCAATGCGTTAGTGCAAATCGCCATTTCTGATATCACGACCCTGGCGCAACGCGGGTACTATTTTGGCATTCTGGGCGTTGCAGTGGCGCTGGGGAATGGGCTTGGGCCGGTCGTGGGCGGCGTGCTCACGGAGAAGGCTTCCTGGCGCTGGGCATTTTGGTTCGTGTGTCCGCTGGCCGTGGCGGCAGCCACATATTTCGGTCTTGTGTTCCCATCGTCCGGCATGTCCGACGATGTCCGGACGAAGCTGCGCAGAGTGGATTGGTTCGGGGTTTTCACGAGCATGATGGCCATTGTGCTGATCCTGGTACGTGCGACAGCGCGGCGACATCGCAAGAAATTAACTCGGCTTGTAGATCCCTGTCTCGCAGGGGGGCACCGCGATCCCATGGGACTCCCCTATCATCATTGCGATGCTCACGCTCGGAGCGGCGCTCTTCGGGCTCTTTCTGTTCGGAGAGTGGCGATGGGTCGAACTGCCGCTTTTGCCCAGTATGCCGTCCATCCTCGTAGGTTCCATCTCGCATGCTGACTGGCCAAGTGCGCGTATTCAAGTATAACTACTCCACGAACATCCTGCTGTTCGCGAACATCGTCATCGGCTGGGTCTTCTGGGGCAATCTCTTCTATATCCCGCTGTACTTCCAGAACGTCCGCGGATGGAGCCCGGGGACATCTGGTTCCTTGATCCTGCCGATGGTGATTGCGCACGGCATCACCTCGGGGCTGAGCGGGCTCATCATCTCGTGGACAGGTAGGTACAAGGTCGTCATCAGCACCGGCGTCGGCATGTGGATGCTGGCAGCAGCGGCCAAGTCGTTCTATACCCAGCAGACCCCACTGTGGATTCTGGAAGTAGGCGGGATCTTTGAAGGCATCGGGGTGGGATGCTCCTTTCAGCCTGGTATACACACCTTACCTCTCCTCTATAACATAACCAGACTAACACAAGCCCGCAGTCATGGTCGGCCTCCTCGCAGGGTCCGACAAAAACGACCGTGCGGTGGTAACAGGGTTCCGCAATTTCATCCGCGACATGGGCGGCTCTATCGGCGTAACAGGTACCGGCTTTCCCCAACTTCTACCTTTTCTCACAGCTAATAAAGGGGATAGTGTCCGGGGCGATCCTCAACAACGTCCTCCACAATGATCTCAAGGGACGATTCAGCGACGCCCTCATTTCCAAGATCACGTCTTCCGCCTTCGCCTCGCGCGATCTCAATCTCACTGATGAAGACTGGGAGTTGATCTCTGATGCATACATGCACGGACTACAGGCTGTCTTTAGCGTGTTTGCGGTCTTGATCTTGCTGTTTTTTGTGCTGATATTGTGCATCAAGGATTATGGACTCGCTGGCAGGGCGTGTGTTGAGAGCGAGGAACATGCTGACGAGGAGATATACCCTGAGTACACTGATTAGAGGCTTGATTTATGGGGTATTGATAACATGCAGTCTGTTTACGGGTCATGCTGGGTTATTGCTTGTTTGAGAATGGTTTGGATGATGTGTGCACATGTGTTGCTGTTGCTATATATTGATGTATGTATGATTTGCTACTTGTGTCTCAAGCTTTGCGTCAAGGGTAAGAAGATCATGATAAGGGCACACCACGTCAGATTCATTGTTCACATAGAGTTATATAGATGTCGGTATGGGCAAGAACTTTGGAACAGCATTCTTCGCTCCGCCCGTACAGGAGTATACTTTTAGAATAGTGACAATGAATAAGAGTTGCACCTAGTCTAAATTCAATCATCAGTACGAATACCATTAACCTCTTGAAGAAAAACACAGAGTGTGAGCCGGAGACAAGGCCAGCCAGCAGTAGAAGTCTATTTCACGTCCCTCCAGAAGGTGAACCTCACTCTATATACCAACAAAGCTACACAGAATAAACCCAACGTACTTCCCGTCAGTCATTCAATTCATAAACCCCACGCGGTCTAGGTCTGCTAAAAAATCACACTCTAAGAATAACCGACAATCGGAAGAAAAGAAAGATTAGCATATAAGAGAGCAAAAGCAATGCAAAGATCATCAATCGTAAACCCCCAGAATTATCCACCGCTCTAGTCCAGGCCAAACGGCCTAGCATCCCATCTCACGCGTTTCAAATGTCTCCGGGGATCCTTCACCTGATTACGTCCATGCAGCCACCGCCTGTTATCCATGATCACGATGGAGCCGCGCGGCATCATCTCCGCGGTGAGCTGCACGACCTCAGACTGCGCCTGTGGGCCCAGCAAGACAGACTTGAGCTCCTCAAGCGCCAGTCCCGCCTCGCCCGTCAAGGGCGTGAAAATATCCTCTCTGAAGCGGAGCGCCAGGCTCCCAGATGCCGGGTCCGGGGAGAGCAGACTCCCGACGATGGACTCGTCCTTGTTTTCTGTTTTCCGGAACTCTGGCGGCACGGTAATCAGGTAGTCCTTCTTCTGGAGGGCAGCTCGTGTCGACTCCGAGAGGAGCTTGAGGAGATTGTCGACTTTCAGCACGGAGAGCGTGCCGCCGCCGCATTGGTCCGGGTGCAGGACTTGCAGGGCGAAGAACCGCGGCGGTGAGGCCTCGTAGCTGCAGTCGGTGTGCCATGGGAACTCGTTCATGGTTTCTGATCGGGCCTGGTGGTCCGGACATTGGAAGACCGTTTGGCTGGGTCGGATATCCCAGTACCAGCCGCGGTGCGCGGAGTGGGTGATGGGTAGGCCGTGGCCGTGCCATTTGTGCAGTCCTTGGATGAGACTGGTGAGGTAGTGGGAGTCGTTGTCGTCGAAGTTGAGGCTGATTTTCAGAACGCCAGCGTCCTGGAGGTGGCGTTGCACGCTGCCAACGTGCAGCTGGTCTTGGGCTGAATCAAGCCTCGGGGCTTGAAGGTATGGGATATTGGCTAAGGCTTTCCGTTAGCTAAAAATAACCTAATCAAGGGTAAACTATGACTAGAAAAAAGCTTACTTACCTAACGGCGAAAGCGCAGGAGCCGACCGTATCGTCGTCCCCACTGCACCGTGGTAAGCTCTGGTTAAGGTTCGCAACATCTTGAACGATTGGGTAATGTGTTGTATATCTCCGAGTGATTCTTGATGGGCTTCATGTGCGAACAAGCTATATAAGTTATTTCAACCACCCGAATACCTATCCCACGCAATTTCGTTCCGCCTCATCCCTTGCTTCATGCTGCCGATTCCTTCTTGGCGGCCTACGTATCCCTCGTCCATCCACAGGGCCGGAATGGCTTGGCATAATGACGGGTATCATGAAAAATGCCCCCAGATAGCTGCAGAATGTCTTGGGCTAGTCTTATCCGTGACGCATGTGACCGCTGTGGCGGTTCTGCGTGAGCTGAAAAGGGGTGAGAGACGAAGCAAGGGGGATGATGATTAGATTTTGATAATGGAATCAACTTGCGCAGATCGAATGTTCTTGAATACGACTTTACATTCGGTATGTACATGAGATCATCTCCCGACGAACCAATGTCTGACATGTATCTCCAGAATGCTCAAAAGTGGTATGTGCACTTGTCAATCCAATCTACACTGTCACGTATGTACAAGACCCATCACCTCCCTACGTCAGGCCCCCAATCAGAACTGGTTCTCAGGGCTGATCAACCGCTGGCTGACCTCCCCGTACGTGCCCTCCACCTCGGTGATCGTCGTACCTTGCACCCAGAAACCCTTGCCGTTGGCCCAGCTCGTCGGTGACGCCGCGGCCGCTGCGATGGCCCATGCCACATCCTCCGGCGAGCTCTTGAGCGTGTTGGCTTGCTTGGTAGCCTCCAGCCCTTCCACCATGGAGGTCAGCGTGAGCCACGGCGCGATCCAGGAAATGGCGACGTTCGCTCGCGTAACCTCCTCGATCAGGGCGGTGCTGCGGACCAGGCCCAAGACCGCATGCTTGCTGGCGGTATAGAGCGGCTGCGAAGGCACAGGGACGTAGGCGCCAGCGGAGGCAACGACGACGATGCGGCCGCCCGCTTCTCTCTGCTTCATGTGGTGGATGGCTAATTTGAGGCCAAACACGACGGAGTTGACGTTGACGTCAAAGAGCTGCGTTGACGGGCGCTGAAGCTGTCCTTCCTTGGTCTCATCCGCCAGATAATTGTAGCGCGCTTGGCCATTTAGCTGTGCGTGTCGCTCGGCGTCTTGCGTCTGGAGCAGTGTGATTTCGGGATTGATGGCGGCGTTGCACACGACAAGCTCAATGGGCCCAACGGTGTCGATGACCCACTGGAACAAGGCGATCTGCTGATCCCAGTCGCTCACGTCGCAGGTCTTGTACGTGGCTTGCCCGCCGATGGTCTCCACGGCACTCTTCAGTGCATCCTCGTGCAAATCCACAAGCACCACGCGGGCCCCGTGGCGGGCTAAGAGATTGGCCGTGGCAAATCCGATGCCACGTGCGGCGCCGGTAACAATAGCTACTTTGTTGGAGACATTCTCCGTGAGAGCGTCAGCGGTTGGTCGAGAGATGGTCGTCATGGTGGTTGAGTGGCAGTGCGATTCGTGTAGAAGCTGAGGGAACTGCGAATGAGGGCCATGTCGAGTACTTATGCCAATGCTACGAACGTTGGCCCACTTCGCCCTGCGTATTCAATACGCAGGGAGCCTCGGCTAAGCCTTTCGAGAAAAAGTATAGCCGTTTTCATTTGTAAAGGATATCCAGATGTCTACGGAGTATCTGATGGCCAGAATCCACTAGTCCACGCTACGAAACTATAATCCATATCTCGATTCTCCACACGTACCAAGCCACACCATTCGCCCCTCATAGTTCCCTAATCGCTCTAAAGCGATTCTCCATGGCCCTCCTCGAGAAGCTCGCCAAGGGCGCTAACCCCTCAAACCCATGCGGCAGCCCGGGATACAGATGAAACTCGACGGGGATGCCCGCCTTCACAAACCGCAGCGCATACTCCGTATCCTCCTGCACAAAAATATCCAGCTGTCCACAATCCATATACACAGGTGGCAAGCCTTCTACAGATTCCGCCCTCGCCGGCGCCGCATACTGCGCGACCCGCTCCGTCCCCACATCCTTCCCCAGATACGCCGTCCAGCCCGTGACGTTGTCTTGTGGTGTCCAGAAGGCCATATCCCCCGCATGGTCCACGGCCGCCGGCCGGTCATCAAGCATGGGATACACGAGGATCTGCTTAGCAAGGGGCGGCGCGAGCCCCCGGTCGCGCGCCATCAAGGCAAGACCCGCCGCCAACCCAGCCCCAGCACTCTCGCCCATAACGGCGATGCGATGGGCGTCGATCGACAGCTCCTCCGCATGCGCGTACACCCACTGCAGAGCGGTCCAGCTGTCTTCGATCGGAATCGGATACGGGTGTTCCGGGGCCAGCCGATAGTCGATGCTCAGGATTTGGACCCCAGACCCGGCGGCGTACCCAACCAGCATGCCCTCCATTTCCTCGACCGATAGCGAAATGAACCCGCCTCCGTGCGTGTGTACCACGGCGGGGGCTTTCACGTCCACGTCCGGCCCGCGCTTCTTGCGGTAGTGGTGGATGGGGACTTTGAAATCGCCCGATGCCGTCGGGGCGTAGTGGACGAGGTGCTCCATATCATCCGGGATGACTGTCTTCGGGGCGTTCTTGGTAATGGCAGCCATCATGTTTCTTCTGGCCGCGACATCGTGGACGGCCGGTTTGGGCAGTTGGCCCAGCTGCTGCAGGACGGGACCTGCGACTTCGGCAAATTCGGGGTCGAGTTGGAGAGGCATTATGTTTCTCTCTGGGTGGGTGGTGCAATGTAACGCAAAATGAGAGATTTAGTGAGAGAGTGGTGCCAGCATTAGGGATCTACAGGGGGTTATTAGTACTGCTACGTTGGTATAGGCCGCCCGCCTATGCAGGCGCATGCCCGTTGTTTCTTCACGGAAAGACCAGTCATCCGAACCGAGTGTCCCTTTTTCCATAGGGGTGCGACGAATCCTTCTGTCCGGAGGGCGAAGAGATGTCGGTAGAATGCGAAACTCCCGGGCTCCGGGGATGATCCACTGTGGAGCTTCTATCAAAATGTGGGGACACGAGCGGCGGTATCCTTTTAGGAAGTTGACGGCGAGGTGGATAATCCACGTTGTGAAGGATGCATAGACTATGAATAAGCGTTGAGGATGTAATGAGTATGGAGTCTGTAGATCAGGGACTATCGAGCAAGAATACTAAGGACTATAGAGTAAGTAGACTGAGGACTATAGACCAAGGGCATGGAGTCAAATAACCCTTGGCAACCCTCAGATGGAGGTCGAGTCTCAGTGGCACCACTGCTCTGTTTAACCCTCGTATTCCATATTGCCAAGCAATACTAACTATGGGCGCCATTCCCTCTTTCGATGAACTGCCCTCCGTGCCAGGGCATCCTCAGAGCAAGTGCTCTTGGGGCATTTTCGACAAAGATGGTCAGAAAGACCTCTACGGGACGTTGAACTTCATCACGCCAGACGTCGTGAAAACCGCTGCCACTGAGATCCGTCAGGGTCTCTCTGTCTCCCTCAAGTGCGTTCCAATGCTCGATTATGTGACGGGTTCATGCTAGGACATAGACACTGATATAAGTTTAGCTGGTCGCTAGGGGGTATCAAGAGCAAGGGACACTTTCGCAAGCATCTTTCCCGTCGCGTGGTCAAACTAGACGATCCCGCAACTGGGAAAGGCTTTGGTTTTGATGATGAGGTATGGGGACCCGACTTTCTACTCTGCCATCGATAGAGGTATCTGATAGACTATAGGTGGACTTCAACACCCAAGGAAGTAGCCAGTGGGACAGTCTCTGTACGCAATCCCTCAAACCCCTGGATATCCTGCGCTAATGAAAAACATCAAGGCCACTTCCAGCACCTCCCCTCCGGCCTCTCCTACAATGGGTTCAAACCGACGGTCGAAACCCTCGAAGCAAACAACGACCTCCCAACCCTAGATCGTAAGCGCGACCCCTTCCCAATCACCAACCCACTATCTAAACCAACGCAGACTGGCATGCCCGCGGTGGTCTCACCGGCCGAGGCGTCCTGATTGACTTCACATCCTACGCCGCCACAAAAGGAATCCAATACTCCCCCTTCTCCGGTTTCCGCATCAGCGCCGCAGACATCGAAGCAGTCGCAGCCCACCAAGGCACCACCTTCCAAACGGGCGATATCCTCATCATCCGATTCGGAGTAACAGAGGCACTGGGACAAATGAACGGGGAGGAGCAAACAGCGGCCATGGCGCCAGTGCGATGTTGTGGAATCGAAGGTACCGAAGATATGGCACGTTGGCTATGGAACAAACAATTCGCTGCCGTCGCGTGTGATAATGTAGCCGTGGAGGCTATGCCCCCGATTGTGGATGGGGTAGAGCGGCCGCCCACCGAGCTTGGTGAGTGAAATCTGATCTAGGGGATCTGTGTCTAGTGGCTAATTGGAGCAGTGCTGCACCAATGGTGCCTTGGGTTGCTTGGAATGCCTCTCGGGGAGCTGTGGGACCTCAAGGCCCTAGCCGAGGAGTGTAAGAAGGCTAGGAGGTATAGCTTTTTCTTGACCTCGGCGCCGTTGAATGTGCCTGGTGCTGTTGGAAGTCCGCCAAATGCACTGGCTATTTTGTAACTTCGTGGTGGACCATGTCCAATCATAGATAGACAGAGAGAGCAACAGTGATCCATTATGTGGTTCCCGATGAACCTTTCAGGTCTATGAATATTGAAAGTGTGGATATTGATTTATAACTGGACTGTAGTTCCAAGTAATAACTATACAGTACATGCAACAGACACTGCAGACGCAGGGAGAATATAAACACTCCAGACAAGAAATTAAACAATACACAAGAGTCACACCCAAGACCAGACCCCATTACCCGCCTAATCCCGATAGGAAGAACCAGGCAGATTCGACGAAACACAAGCCCTGTGGCATTTTCCGCCGAGCGATTATATGGGCAACCCAAGACCAGCAGCGTTGCCGACAGCTGCTTTAACTAGAGGTTTTATCTTGATCAGTACAGCATCCATGTTAAAGGCCCTGGGGGTACTTACCATCGCCAACAGCTTTGTTTACTGATGGAGGCTGCTCCTGGCGCTTTTCAGGCTGAGCAGCCCCCTTCTCGGCCTCCAACTTCTCACAAGCCTCCTGTAGAGCATTCCTGTTGGGGATGGAGACGGTGTAGGGAGTAGCCTTGAGGTGACGGCAGAGATCCTCATCAACCTTAAAATCCTGGCGTTTCTCAGGCTGAGGTGCTTTGCTTAAGTTCACTAGTTCGTCCGCAAGCCCAGGGAATTTCTTGGTGAGCTCGGTCACCTTTTCGAATGGCAGGCAGACCTGGTCGGTAGGCGCGGTGGGCGTATCGACGGGCAGCGCGGTCGCCAGCGCGGCGGCACCCAAGAGAGACATGCAGAGAGTCTGGAACTTCATGGTGGAGGTTTGTAGAGTGCGGAGTTAATATGGCTAAGTGAGGCTTGAGCTTGATTGAAGGTTGAGATGCTGATACTGAGATGAAGGAGTCGGAGTCGGGGAGCCAGAGCAGTATTTATGTCTTTTCCTGTGCAGCAGATTGGCAATGAGGTATTTCTCAGGCTGGTCTGATTGCCACATTTGGACCGACTAGCTGGTCAATTCTCATAGTAGTGGTGATAATCATTGATGTAGTGGGGATCAATGATGAAGTCACTTTCTAACACTCCCTTCAGGAAATGCCGTTCGACATATCACATTTCGGCTGTACCTGACGCACAGAATCAATAGTTCATGCTGTGATCGCCGGAATATATGGAATATATCATTGCGTATGCACCCCTGGAAAGGCCTTATCGGGTAATGTAAGGAGTCCCTGAAAGAGAACGAAGACCTTTCCCACGCCGCAACTACGGTGGATACTTTTAGGTACTGTAGGGGGTGCTGTAGGGGGGACTGGATACCATCGTCGGTTATAGAATTAGGTTAATTGGGCGATCATTGCCAGCTTGCTGCAATACAATGTGATAGGTACTTTATGCTACGTCTATGTCGATCACAGTTCATGTCTGTTTTGGTGTGTGCATACGCATACTCACGGATATGTACCTCGGACGCACAGAAGAGGCTACGGGAGATAGAAATCGTTGCTTGGGAAGACAGGTAGATGTTCTATCTGAGAGAACAATTCAACAGTCTTATATATAGGAGGTCAGACAAAGACTGGGGATTTCTTCGGGCATGCAGCCTGACGGCCTCGTTTGTGTAGTAGGACATATTTTTGCAGCTGCAGCCACGGACGCATCGCCTCGAGGTGCAGTATCGCATTCCATAATTGGAAGATCTACCCCTTACACCCTATGAGCCATTGATATGGAATGGGTAGAGTATAGTCTATCCAGCAGCTAGCCCTAAACTTAACATGAGGTAGTTTCCGCCCCTGATCATTCCATCAACAGAGAACAACTACACGGTTCACAGTACTAAGTATTCTGAGAGTGGTTGCTGTATGGGGGTAGTTCTGCTTGCGCTGATGGCGGTGCTGAGGAGTGAAGCTCGCAGTAGTAGATACAGACAATTGTAAGCATCACTCTGTAAGTATGATATTGAGAGATTGGGAAAGGATCTGTCATCCCTTGCTGCTGTTTGCACTTCTTTACATGGACTGAATTCCAGATTATTGAATCTAGTTGTATTCTCTCGGATAATCTTGATAGTGGTACTGGGAATTGGTCCTTACGAGAGTATGCCAATATCATGAAAGCCTTTAATAGGCAAGCTTGCTCTAGGAATATTGTCTAGGTATCGAGTACACTTAACGAGACAGGCTAAGGACTGGTATATTACTAAATTGCTTGAAGAGTACTGCAGTCTACATACAATTACTAACACAAACAAACCTACAAAGGCTGAGTAGAAAAGCCCTCCCAGCTCTCAAGCGCATCAGTGCACTTTTCCCACCATTTCTGGATGCCACCCAGCCAGATCAACGGCTCCCGCCTCTTGCCCGGGATATTAGTGCCCATATACCACGAGTTCGTCTTGGGATAGAGCGTATTCTCGGACACCAGGCGAACCTCCTCCTTCCACTGCTCCGCTGCCTTGGCTGTGGGCACGACAGACGCCAAGCCCTCGTCACGCATCTTCGTAATCGCCCGACAGATCCAATCGACCTCCATCTCAATAAAAGGCGGTCCATTAGCCAACGCAGTCGGCGCCTGCGGTCCATAAACCAGGAACAGATTTGGCGCGTCAGGAATCATCAAGCCCAGATGAGTAGTCGTCCCCTCCTTCCATTTCTCACTCAAAGAGACCTGGTTCCGATCTTCAATGCCCAGATCCAGCAAGCTACCTGTGACGGCATCGTATCCTGTCGCAAAGATGACAATGTCGAGATCACGATGGCCCTCGGCCGTGACGACACCGGTCTCATCGAACTCCAGGATAGGCGCCTTCTTCAAATCATGCAGGATGACATTCTTCCGATCGATCATCTCGTAGTAATCCTGCTCCAGACTCGGCCGCTTAGTACCGACCAGGTAAGTCTGCTTCAACGGTGCAACAATATCCATCTTCTTCTCGTCCGTCATGCGAGCTCGAACCTGTTGTACCCAGTAATTGTAAAAGATCGAGTTGGCCTCTTCATTGAGGAGGAAGTCATAGTAGTTCGAAACCAAGAAACTATATCCACCGCGCTGCCAAAGCTCATCGAAAACAGCCTTCCGTTCCTCGGGCGATGCCTGGCTGGCCGCCTGAGGCCTGGTGTTATGCGGGAAACCCGTGGCAGATTTATAGCAGCGGTCAAAGAGGGCGTCGTAGTACCCTTTCATCATTTCGGACTCTTCCGGAGAGATATTCCGCTGTTTCATGGGGATTGCGAAGCAGGGGTTGCGGATAAACGAGGTTAATTCGCAGTCTTCCTTTGCCAGTTCCTGGACGATTTGGAGACCCGAAGCTCCGTTGCCGACAACGCCGACCTTCTTTCCTGTGACGTCGAGTTTATCCGGGTACGCCGCTGGGTGGATTAGCTGGCCCTTGTATTGGTTCAGACCGGGATATTCGGGGAAGTATTTCTTGTAGGAGGATCCCGTGGCGGCGATGAGGTACTTGCACGTTGCCCTGATGCCGGTCGAGGTCTGGACAATCCATAGTCCACTCGCCGAGTCGAATCGACACTCCGATACCACCGTGTTGAAATAGGTATCTTTGCTCAGCTCCAGCACACGGTCAGCGTGTTCAAAATATCGCTTCAGCTCCTCGCTGCCGGGGAACCGTTCGCTCCAATTCCAGTCCTTCCATACGGCGGGGATATTGAACTGGTAGGCGGGCATTTCGCTATCCACACGAGCCCCGGGGTAGCTATTCCAGTGCCAGACACCGCCGAAGGCGCTTCCTGCCTCAAAGAGTTTGGTCGTGAGGCCCATCTCGCGGAGGCGGTAGAGGGAGGTGCAGCCACCGAAGCCGCCGCCGATGACGACCGCATCGAGTGTGAGTTCTGTTCGGGTCATTCTGAGGGTAAATCAAGGGTTGATGTCACTTGGAAGAGACTTGATGAAGTGGATTGACTTGCAAAGATCCGGGAGCTGGTGGCCATGGTGCTCCTTTTATCCTGTTCACTGGATCTGATCGGAATATACTTGACGTTCGAATTGTCTCTATACTATTCACGACTCGGCCGGGACCTTCACATCCGAATGCTGTAAACGGCCTCGGTATGCGATGCGCGATGGGAGCTGTCCCAAACAGGAAGTCGACGGCGAGACCGCAAGTGGATTCTTTTCGTAAGGATCGACACGGCCAAAACATGGTTCCATCTTGGCAGTCGCTTGAAGAACCTAGTTCGTACTCTCCTGTACCGTCCAGAGAGCCCTGAAGAGACGATGCTTCCGACTTTTCCGCCGACGGTGATTGTACGACAAGAATGTATGTACAAAGCTCGCTTCACCGCTCAAATCTGGTTGGCCTCGGAATTTTGTGTCTCCGTGGTTATGGACATTAACGCTGGTGGCACGCTGCCTTGACCCCGCAGTGGGCTATAAGAGACCCCCATGGAGCCCCCAACGTCTTTGGACTTAGAACCGTAGATCATTCAAGGATAATCAAATTACCTACTGATAGACACTATGGCTTGCAAAGTTACGGGAACTGCTTTCATCACCGGCGCTGCCTCCGGTATGTACCTGCATTGCGATCGATCTAATGCTTAGGGCTAACATCTATATAGGAATTGGTAAAGCATCGGCACTGAAATTTGCCGAGCACGGCATCACTGCTTTGGCCCTGCTGGATGTCAACCAGGCTCAGCTGGAGGCCACCCGCGATGAGCTCCACAAATCCTTCCCCCATGTCGAAACCGAGATCCTGCAGGTCGATGTCACCAGTGAGGCCTCGGTCGACCAAGCGATCCAGAAGACAGTGTCTCGGTTCGGCCGCATTGACATTGCCGTGAACTCCGCAGGGATCAGTGGGATTCCCACAAAGACGCATGAGCTAAGCCTGTCTGCGTGGCAAAAGGTCATTGACATCAATCAGACAGGGCTGTGGCTGTGTCAGAGGGGAGTCATCCGGCAGATGTTAACACAAGAGTGGGTCTGGTAGCTTCCATCTGAACCAGTTTGGTTGTGCTGATTTGTTAGATCGCGAGGCGTCCGTCAAGGTCGCGGAGTAATCATCAACCTGTCGTCGATGTTTGGCATTGCTGCTCCTCCGGCAGAGTTTGCAATCATCCCATACACTGCTGCCAAACATGGTAAGTTCCACTGAGATCCATGGCTATGTAGCCCCTGTAAGATGCTAAGAGAACCAGCTGTCGTAGCAATGTCCAAACTGGTATGTGGCATTCCCTATCTGCCTTGATATTCCTGGGCACGCAGACTCACAATCATAGGACGCCAAAACGTACGGCAAGGAAGGAATCCGTATCAACGCCATTTGTCCTGGGTAGGTCTCTTCTCCAACTGATTACGTCCAACACTAATGGTCCAGATATGTGGATACGCCTATCATCCACGCGGCGATTGAAAGCGGCGCAATGAAGAGCGAGTTCGAGAACACTCCTTTGGGTCGTCCGGCCGAGGCGGACGAGATTGCGGACTCCATCCTGTATCTTGCTTCGCCGATGAGCAGCTATGTGTGTGGTGCTGCGCTGGTGGTGGATGGCGGATACACTATTTAAACCGGGACGGGACATAGACTCGACGAACACATGCAACCTGTTGTCATCGGCAATGTGGTCATACTAGCATGATATCATAGTCAGCCTCGTTAGCAATCTCCTCCCAATGAATATCGACTCCAGGCGCAGATGCTCGTCGTTGCCACAGGATCGTAACGATTTCGCACAATGATTGGATGTTCGTGATTCCGTGCCGGCGTTTGCGATCGAATAAAGCCAGCATCCTCTCTTGTAGATCCGGTCGGCTGCATTCGGCGGCGACCACGAAGCCGGCCCAATTGTAGGCACATCCGCCTTTGCGGTGGGTGAGTGCCTCGGCGGCTTCAAGCTCGTGGACTGCTTTCTCCACGAGGTCTTGAACGTCTCCCACAGGGACACGGCGAAGAGAACGGCGAAAGTAGATAACGGTGGCGTAGTAAAAGGAGTTCAGAGCATGCTGGATGACAATCGACTCGGGTGTTTCCTGGAAGTGCGAGCTGGGAAATTGGAGATAAAGCTGCAACTCCAGATTGTCTAGGTCCGCAGCTGTGGTCCGATTAGGTGACTCCCTGAGGGCAGATATATGTGCTAGAAATTGTATGAGTGACTGTGAAACACCATGCGACCGCTCTAAGTAGTTCTGGATGTTCGGAAGCCCTTTCAGCAATCCTACTAACTGAGCCGACATTCGGAAATTGCACAGTGAGGAGAGAGATAAGTAACTCTGGAGTAAGCGTGCCGCGGTTGGCGATTGCAGCCACTCGCCATCAAGCTCATTTTCCAGCATTCCCAGTCCCCCAAGAACATGAGCTCTCCATCGGCCACGCCGGCCAGACATGGCTTCAGCCGCGATGCACGTCAGCACAGCTACAAGTGTGGTCTCGTCTAGTCGGCTTCCAGGACGAAGGTTCTGCCGCAGATGCTGGATGGCCTGCTGGTCATGCTGAACAGCAAGAGATTGGTACTTGGATTCGCTGCGAAGATGGTAAAGACTAAATGCGGAAGCTGCACACAGTCCATGGAAGACAGCACGGTGCATGTTTGACTCCGATGCGGAGGAGTTCAGTCCCTTGAGAGCCAGGGGCATGAAAACAGTGCGGCACGGATTGTCAGGTAAGTCGATCAGGAGCAGGTTTCCGCTGAGGAAGACGACCCAGTGATGGATCAGTTCGATCTCAAGGGGAGACATACTCGTAGGATTCAGCGAGGATGAGATGTGTGCCTTCTCTACAAGGCGCGCCTGAATCTTGTCGTTTGTATCTGCTGCGCATCGCCTACGTCCCGTTTGAGATGGGTTTGGCGTTATTTGGCCAATCTTAACGAGGGCATCTTCGTTGAGGACGCATTTCGGAGGCTCCGGAAAGAGCCGGCATTGCGCCATAAACGATGCATCTGGAGATGGTGATACAGATAGATCGTGTGGGTATGGGAGAACCCCGTTGAAGCTCTCCGTTGATGATTCGCGATGATTGTGAACCCGCACATTCCGACTCGAGTCCTCCGACACAGAGACTGAAAAGACCGAAAATGGCCCTCGCTGAGCAATCACTTTTCCCGGAGAATGGTCAAGGTCACTCAAAATATCTTTCACGGCAGCTGGCGACAGTTCTGCCGTTGCCCTAGTTGAACGCAGTAACCGACGCTGCGTTACAGTTCCCGAGGAATTGGTCCATCCCAACCGCACACCGTACCCTTGGCACGTTCGTCCACTGCGACGACACCGTTGGCAACTTGGTCGCTGCTCGTCGCATTTGACACGACGAGATCGACAAGTCCAGCAGCCGGTGAAAGTTTTCGAACGTGGTTTAGGGGTCATGGTGGCGCAAGCGTTGTGATAAGATGCGGAATTTCTTCAGAGATCAAGTCGAGAATTAGTCAAGGGTCCAAGTGGATCTTCTTTCCCCACACTCTTGGCAGGGACCAATCTGGAAGTTGGGGAGAGAATGGTAAATACTAGACAAAAAGAAAGAAAGAAAGAAAAAAAAGAAAAAGACTTTCATGTAATAAATAGAAAGTTTCATTCCAGCAGTGAACTACTGTGGGAGGCGTTAAGATCGTGTGTGGAACTGCGAGAACTACTGTGGCAAAAGCATCACCACTTGCCTCGGCCCTCAGGTCCTATTATATTTTGTATACAGCTGGCTAAGTTCGAAGTAGGAAACGATATACGAGCCTACCCACAGGGATCATCACGATCGTTTCGCACTCTGCCACAGCATATATAGTGAGATCACACTTTGTACAGTCATAAACAGAATCTACTCGCTATGCTCATGTCACGAAAACCCATGCAGTGTTAGGCTTATATACGCACAGATTTCTTCATACATGCATCTACTGCTCCTTCTTCGGTTCCGGCTTAACCGCCAATGCACGGATAATGGATGTACCGACATGCGCCGATTCCTTCCACCCTTTCTGGCGCATCCAGAAACGTTCCGCGGGATCGGTGCCATGTCGGGACCATGCACGAGCATCATCTTCGAGTGAGGCCCGCGTGATTTCGGAAACCTCCTGAGACTGGTCCACATACGGAGTGGTTTCTTCATCGGTTTCATCATCACTGCTCCTAGATTGCAGACTCGACTCAAGGAATCGTTTCCGCAGCAAATAGCGCTCTGTCCGTTCCTGACGTACATTGGGGGGTTCCATTTTGGCGATAGTGGCTCGCACGGCGTAGCGCACCAGTAGGTAAATGTGCTCGCAGAAAAAGATCGTGAGCAGCAGTGCCCATCCCTTGATGGATGTTGGCTGTCCGTTCGGTCCTTCGTGACCGTTGCTAAACATGTAGACGAGAGCCGCGCTTGTAATACTTCCAACCCAGGACAGGAACCCTAGACTGTCCAGCCAAGGGCCAATGGTATCTGCACGTTGAGGCGATGGCCGTTTGCACTCCATACAGATCTTGAAAAAGTCGGACCGCAACTCAACCCAGTTATTGACCAAGAACGAGACCGGCACCAAAGGCCAGACAGGTGAAAACAGTGCCAGGTATCCAAATTGAATACACATCTCCCGGAGATCATCGGTCACGTCATAGTCTTCCATCTCAACTTCATTACGTACCCGCTTGAGAAACTGGGCTTCCTCGGGGGCATCCTCGAACGAAACTTCGGGCGCCTTTTTCTCATCCGTGTTGCTATCCGACTCCAATTTGCCCTGGCGCTTTTTGTACTCCTTGTACTTCTGGAGGCCGCGCTGCTTCAGCATCGGAACTATCGTTTCCTGGGCGAAATTAACGGCCTGAGCAGTCACTGTGAAGTAGATGACCTGCTTCTTTAGACGACTCGGATCAATGTTGAATTCGGTACGTGTTGTTATCGCATCTTTTTTAGAGACGAATGGACGAACAGTCACGTGGAAGATATCGAGATGCGGCACGATACTATGAGCGAAGGGGACATACACAAACGCTGTTAGAAAAACAGGGAGGTATGAGGTAATGAAGTTGATCACAAAGATCTTCTGTGTCAATGCGACATCGTACGCGCCCTGGGTCTCATAGTTCTCGTAGTCATTCAGCTTTGTCGCCACTGACACGAGGACGGTACTCATGGTCGGAATTAAAGCAGAGAGCAAGATGGTAGGAATGAAGACCTGATAAGTCAGTCGGTGGTGCATCGACAATCAGTGCATGGGGCTCACCAAGTATGTCTTCAGCGGTCCGTTGTATATCTCGGAGATGAATATCTCAATGGCGAAGCATGTCGCAATGATAATGCCCAGGGCAACGGTGGCAACGAGTGCAAATGGCACCTGGAGAAGCTGGGTCTGCAACCGCTTCGTTGCGGGATATATACCACGAATTTCGCCTGTTTGCTCGTCCCGGACTTCCCTTTCGGGTTTGAATTCCCGTCTTTTCTCGCGCAAAACCGATACACCCTTAGACTGCCATCGGCAGCTGAGGTCCTCTTCCTGCCGTTTCCAGTATTCAATGAAGACAATACACCACAGGGCATTCCCAACCGTGTAAATAATTGAAAAAGACCCCAGCAATAGCCAGCAAGAGAAACCAAAGATGGCGGGAAACATCAAAAACTTAAAATACGACTGCAAGAACGCAAAGTAGAAGCCAACCTGCGAGAGCTAAATCAGCATCAAAAACCAACATAGGGAAGCACTGCCACATACACTTTCTCCGAATAGGTTTCGTATCAGGTCCAGGTCTTCGTTGGACAAAAATGTCTTCTTGCTCCAGTCTCTCATGCATTGCTTGTTGGTCTTCTCATCATGCAGTGGGAAGATGGCAATGACGTTCTCCCACTCCCCATGTTTTGGGGTAATTCCAGCGCCACCCGCTTCCCGGGGCACGGTTATCATATGGTGGATCACACGCAGGCGCTCAGATTCTGATTGCGGCTCGGCGGAGGACTCCGGTTCGGGTTCGGTGTTGCGGACACCATAGAGCCAGTCGCGAATTCTATAATGTAAGAACCACTCAGAATGGCACGTACATCATGGAAGGAAACGGCGCGTGGGGTCCTTACCGTGACTGATAAACAGCGCGTTGCAATTTCTTTTTGCTCGAAGCCCGGACAAAGACCAGCACCGACGATTCATCGCCTTCTCTCACTTCCGTCTGCAACCCTACCTCAGATAGTCGACGGAGCAGCAGTTCCAGCTGCTGAGACGCTTTATCGACATCTGGGACGGTCAATCTCGCTGTTTCCAGCGGAGCGCGGCGAACATACCAGTATCATTAAAGCTGTAGCGGATGACGTAGTCCACATGGTTGTTATGAGGCACCTCCTTTTGATGGGGTTGGGAAGCCATTGAGGATAGATCGTATATCACTACCGTGACATCAAGCGAAGGCACGCTTGATCTGACCGTCCGGACAACAATTCCTGCGGAAAAGTCGCTAAGAGCGAGTAGGGGGTTCTTAAAAGGTTCTTGAAACTGCTTGGGGCTGGTGATGACGACGTCACGGTCGAAGCTTGTCGTAGGGTTAACCCTTGGATTGTGTGGCTGAGTCCAGATTAAGTGCGAGATCGGCGATCAGGTCCAGCACAGCCACTCCATCGATCGGGCCTAACCTTGTTTGATGGCCGTAATTCAAGATTGAAAGATGAAAGTCAGTGACGGGCATACTTGAATCACAAGTCCCGACGCACATTTCATGCATGAGCTCACTGCGCATTGTGATGATTCCAATCTGCAGCCTATGTATGCCAAGACAGTACTAGTCAAGTCCTAGCCGATGCGGTCCTGCTCTGTAAGGTCAATATTTGGGAGTATTACATAACATCGCCCGGATGGTCTAGTGGTATGATTCTCGCTTGTAAGTTGAACCTGAAAACATTCAATCACTACCTCGGATACTAATGAATACTCCAGTGGGCTACCAGCACCAATCTGCGAGAGGCCCCGCGTTCGAATCGCGGTTCGGGCCAATTTTTTTGGCTTGATCCAGTCGAACAACTGTCGGCCAAGCCGTCTTTCTTTATTGATGAAACTACGAATTGCATTACCGTTGTCTAGCCGCGTACATCACTGGATAGCAGAATAAGTCCTCATAATATTGTAATCTCGGCCTTCAGTATTAGGTGTAGAGTACGGAGTAGGCTCAGCTGAATTTGGATGTACATATATCTGACTGCGCCCAGCCCGTAGCCTATCAAGATCGAAACCAGTGATCAATGTATGTACGATAGTTAAACCAGCTGTCGCTCAATATAACCCTATGTAAACCTCTTGTATGGGGGCAGCTCGTTTCCAGCCACTACTAGACGTGCTAGAGCCATGGAAGAAAATATGCGGTGGGCTACTCGAGAGTGATTTGTTGGGTTAAAACTCGAGATATATCCCTTAGTGTTCAGACTCAACCAGCGGATATATATACACAACTTCACTCTTCTACTATATTCTTGGATATTCTAGATCGAAAAAACATAGGCAAACATACTTCATACGAAGATTCTATAGATAAAATGATATTTAACATGACTTATAAGCACATCTATATATGCAAGGCGTTGGTCGTCATAAGCAAATGGCATTGGTATGGACGAGAATACTATACACATCATATATTAGAATAGCGGAAATCTCCACCACCGGCGCCCGGATGGTCTAGTGGTATGATTCTCGCTTGTAAGTCGACCTTATAAACACTACGCCATCAATCTTCGATACTAATAAATCATCACAGTGGGCTATACAGTACCAATCTGCGAGAGGCCCCGCGTTCGAACCGCGGTTCGGGCCCTTTCTTTTTTTGCCTTCATTTTTTAGCTTCCCTTCATTCTTCCTTCCCTCTCCACTTTATTTTATATCGCTCTGCATTATCCTTGCATCTGTGGCATATATCTATAACCGTCCTCGTGGATCGTTCCTGGACCTCAACTTAGAAAGAACACGTTCGTAGGAGTGCTTGATCCTTCAGCTCCATGTAATCATTCCGCCTAACGGAGTCTTCCTACCTTTTTCTCGTACTCTGGGATCTCCTGAATACTGTTAAAAGGGCCTGTGGGAGTCAAATCTCACATTATTATTACTCTAGCTATACATTCAATTGATTGATTTGACGGAAACAATTAACTACCCAGTGCAGCCGGCGAGTTATCCACCACCCCAACACCAGCCTCCACGTCTCCCTTCTTCACCGTCATGCTGCTCACTTCAGACCTGGAGTGACCGAAACGTTTGATTCCAGTGACCGTCATCGAGTCAGTCTGGAGCAGGTACATGTACCAATAGTAAACACCTGGGCCTGATTAGCACGAGTTGTCCAATCCCGAAACAGACATGTTCACTCACCGCAGAATAAACCTCCACCCAAGATATTGCCGATCAAGGTCGGAATGATTCCCTTCCAGATGTACAAGCCCACTGTGATTTCGGGGGCGCCGACCCAGATAGCCAGCGGGATGAAAGTCATGTTGGCCACGACGTGATCGAACCCGAGAGAAACGAACGCGAAGATCGGCCACCAGATGCCGATGATCTTGGAGGTGAGGTCCCGGCCCTGGATGCCGAAGAAGCAGGCGAGACAAACGAGCCAGTTGCATCCGATGCCGCGGAGGAAGATCATATGGAACTCGGGGGTGACTTGCTTTTTTGTGGCGAAGGCGATCACTTGGGACTTGAAAGGATCTGCGGAGAAGACGTTGCCGTCTAATTCTGTATTAGTGATGTTGCTCCTTAGTGGTTCTGGGGACGTTGAGACGACTGGACCTACATCCGAATATGATGGCAACGACGAAGAGTGACCCAGCCAGGTTACCAAAGAATGTGACGATCCAGTGGATCAACATCTTGTACCACGACAACCGGCGTTGGAGAGCAGCAACGGTGGTGAACTGGCATGTACTTAGCGCTCCTTTCTACATACAGGAGAGGCCGGAAGTCTTACCATGAAGGACCCGGTGCAAAGATCAGCTCCCGTTAAGATAATCATACATAAGCCATAGGGGAAGACCAAGGCGCTGATCGTGCGGATGAGTCCCGGGGCGTTTTCCTGGAACCAGGGCGTGGAGTTGGTGCTGAGGACCGTTCCACAGGCGAAGGCAAGCAGACACCCAGCCGACACTGCACTGAAGAAGATTTTGTCGAGGCGCATATTGCCCTTGGCAACGCCAGCACGCCCGACGAATTCGATCACCTCGGCCGGGGTGAAGGCATCCAGGCTGATTTGCGACATGGTGCTTTAGGTCTGAATCTAGATGGATTACACAATGACGGCCCTGGAGGAGCTCGTAATGCAGGCGCAGGAAAGCTCAAAGAAGACAAGGACGGTGATACATGGCGACACCGACAGGTTGGGATATGGTTCCCACATATATCCTGGCATTGTCAACCTTATCAAGGCATTTATCCGGGGTAAGAAGAGAGTCGAGACACCACGATGATCGACTGGAATATCGGTGATCATAACAAAGTTAATGGTGCTTATCGAGCGCCTGTCCACTTTCCCATGCATAACATTGAAGATCCGTGCAATTTAGTCGGCATTTCCAGGGAGCAAGACTGCAAGAGCTCCGCCGATCGAGAGATAAGAGTTGAGATAGGGAGCCCTAAGTGTCCCGGGGCGAACCAGATCGAATCCACTTATCAGCCTAGTGATAAGGAATGCGACGCCTTCTCCGCGGGCTCCATCAGGGTGCATGATAAGGGTCCTTGAACAATGTCAGCATTGACAAATCCTCCATGATTTACAGGACAGCACGACTATCAATGGGTACTGGCCTTATGGGAAAGGGGCCCACTAGATTGCAGATCATATCCTGGTGGCTCTACTCCGTACTATCTTCGCACTCGGTATGATAAGACCCTAGACTATGGAAAAGATTTCCAGCTCAGCCTCAAACTGTGGTTTGAACGACGCCTGGGCACTCTTTATTTCATGTTCATCATCATATAGGTTCTCCTAGGGCCTAGCCTCTCCCTTGGATGGCCCCACGGAGCGACATCGCGCTTTGCATCTTAATTGAAGAAGTCATTGACCCTCTCAGCCCGCCGTTTGGAGTGAAGCATAAACTCGTACTGCGATCAGAATGGTCGCAATGAAGTAATCCATGCGAAACACCCGTACGACCGTTATGAGAAGGTCCAGAATATACCACGGTGTCTTCACCTGGGCGTGGGCCAGTAGGCCTGCCTCTACATGGTCCTTTTGTAAGCTCTCATTGTTGATGGTGCTAATAGTACCCACTGGAACACTGCAGTACTAAGCGAAGTTCCCAAGGCTAGCAGTTGGAGGTACCCTTGCGGTTTCTCAGGAAAAAAAGGCGAAAAGATGGGGGAAGACGCGAGAATCGGTGATTGAATATGGACCTTCGCTTGAGGACATACATACAGTATACCTTAACTAACACAGAATCTCCTCTCAGCTTTCAAGAACCTGCCTTGTCTCAGCTGATCATCTGCCAAAGATGTGAGATCGACATTTGTTCATTCTACCCCTGTTCCTTCAGCTGAACCATTTCCCTGGCTTCGCGCCCAGCCCCGCTTCAACAAAAGTACTACACTGCACGCAATTGATCCGATGACTACCTATACAGACAGCCAGTGGCCCATAATATACAAAACAAGTAGCTTGGCGAATGCCTTGCCTATAAAGTCTGTTACACCGCATACTAGGGTTTTCGGTCCGTCGGGCGGGAATTGCGAGCGAAAGGTATGTTCGAGACCACTTGAATCATGCACCACCACTAACTAGTCAATTACTGGTGGGACATTACTTTCTCTCTCGTAACAAGATTCGGTTTGTCGCATGACATTGCTGATCCCGGCAAGCTTATACGCAACATGGCATCTCAACCATGGAATCGAGTGCTTGCGCTTGGTTCCGATTTGACGGACCCAACACCGGGCCTCGTGGTCATTGTGATCTATGGGAAGTGATTCTACATGATGAAGCATGTCCTAGGAACTGTATATCTCCTCGGAGTTCGAGTCCTTGTGGCTTGTGTATATAATTGCGATGGCTGGTTCAGCGCTCTTCTCCGTTATATCTTCCGTCTTATATTAGCTTACTGTTTCAGGCTCTTGTAGATGCACATACCTGTGATTTACCCCACAATGAACACGGCATTCAGCTCCTTATATTGTACCAAGAGTCGTTTCGCGTCTGTGGCCACTGTTCGGGGAGCCAGACGGCTTGCGCCTCGACTGCGCTCCAGCCCATCCCCACTACGGGGTCCACTCCTCGCAAGACATATCTCAACCAAATCTACGGAAGGCTTCGCAAGGGAGCGAATCAATAATGGTACACAAGTCAAATATGTCCTGCTTCTTTCCACCGCCGCCACGCTCAGCTGGCTCCTCTACGCTCAACAGCAAGGCGCTGTCCGGCTAGACAGCGACAAGAAATACTCCACCCACCCGGACCCCTTAGCTCCCAAAAACGGGATTCAAGATGCACAGAACAAGACTCCCAAATCCCTAGATGATTTGGACCTCCCGACAGAGAAAGCGATCCTCACCACCGCCCCCAACGTCCCCCCACCGATCACACGCGACTACCCAGTGCTCCTAGACGTGGACCTCACAACCGTCAGCAAACTGGAGCAACTAACCAACCAATACAAATACGAGAAATGGACATTCAACAACAGCGTCCCGGGGCCGTTCATCCGGGCGCGCGTCGGCGACGTCGTCAACCTGAGAATAACCAACCACGACGAATCGGGCATGCCGCACAACATCGACTGCCACGCCTTCGTGGGACCCGGGGG